ATACTGGGATGGATTTTAAGCAGCAGAATACAACTCCAGTTAGCATTATAGTTTCTCTCCCACCTCTTACATAAATCATTTAACTCATATTGGGCTCCAAACATAGGTCTAGTAAACTTCACAAAATTCACGGAAACTTGGTGGGATATTTCAGCTTACCAAGTCAATACTTTGTGAGAGGCCAAAGATCTACCACAGCATTCCTGATTTGTTCTACGCTTGTGAGATAAACTCTTCTAACCCTTCTGGTCCTTCTCTGAAGTGTTACCAAACAGCAGCCACACAGGCTTCTTGTGGTTTTCTGTGTTTGGGTTTTTTTCCTTCCTAATTCAGCATTAAACCAAAAGTTAACTTTTGTATTTGACAAATAAGTTCTGTTGCTGTGGAACACTTGGCTTCAGTGAATGTCCTCGTGTTCGATTATCTCCAAAATTGCATGTTGCGGGTTTTTTTCTTAAATGTTTTGCAGAAGTAGATTGCAATTCAGAAATGGAGGAATTCCCTTCTCTTTCCCCCCGAGTGCCTAGCTGGGGCTTGTCAGCTCATCCGCTACCTACCACTTATGGATTTTTATTTTATTTTTACTTTTTACTCAGTAATACCTGATACAAAAATCTTAATTTGAAATAAACCATGAATTTGCCATTGCAGGTATTCCAGTTTGTTCAGGGGCAATAGTGTTAAGACTATAGGCACCAAATGGCTGGGTTGTTCTGCGGTTTTCTTTAACGCTGTTTTTCAAGCAGGATCAGACTGACCTGGTAAAACCCTCAGTGCCTGGTGGAGTAAGAATGAGAAGTGAAGCATCCTTTACCAAATCTCAGGCTGCTGAGGCTGGTGGCACTGCAACAGGGCAACTGCTGCTCTGAGATGCAAGTGTAGTCTAAGTCTGGCACTCGTCTGGCTAAGTCTGGCATTAGCAATCTCTGAGAAAGCCGGATATTTTCAGCTGAAATTTGTTTGTTTCTTGTGTTTTCTACCAGAACTTGAATGTATTAAGTTACGAATGTACTATGCCATATTTCTGTACTAATCTATGTACTGTGCTGGCTTTGGTATTTTGTATATAGTACAAAAAATAGAACCTTTTGTTTGAAATTAAATCTATTTGACCATATAATTAGGTGTCCACAGTTTTTGCATGGCCAGCATTCTAGTCTAGCACTAATATTAGCCCTTTAGTCATTTACGGCAATTTTTTGTTCATTTGTTTCTCTCAGGTAAATACGGCTGTAACCTACATGCGGTACCATCTTCAGTGTATTGTCATATATTTGAAAGGGGAGCATATCTGCTTGGTTCCTTTCAGAGATTCTAGATAAAAGGCCTCAATAAACTCTCCGGTGTCCTCTTCGTGTTTAGATATAATGACATAGTCTGGAGTTTCTTTATATTTGCATGCCTGAGAATGAAAAAGACAAAAGATTGGTTTATACAAATGTACATTAAAAAAGTTTCATAGGATGCAATTCTGGAGTCTAGTGTAATCCCTTCTATCAGTGTGTGGAGGGATGAGAGCTGGAAGGGGAGAGAACACAGGAAATGCATTTCTTCATCCTGTTCCCACCCCTCCCCAAAGGAAAAAAATACAACCCTGTTACCATGGAAGAATCAACATGATAGAGAACTGTTGGATCTCCAATACCATTTTTTTAAATCCAATTGGTTGCAGCTGTACTGAGAGGGAACAAATGTTTTGCTGCCTTTGCTGCCAAATAATAGATTATATTTGGAAGCATAAGACTAATGAAAAAAATACACTTCAGAAACCTAGTGATTGCAAAGCTTCAGGCATAAGAAAGGAAACTGTTCTTTGTAAAGAATACTGTGCTCTAAAAATTTAGGTTTTATTTTTTTAGATGCAGTGTTAAGTTATATAGAATATTGTTTCCTGAGGATTCAGTTTTTCACCATGGCAGTGATCCCAGGCTTCATGCTTTCTGCTGGCTATAATTTATCTATTTACCAGCAGCAGCCATCTGCTTGAAAAATCATTAACTCAAACTTGGGTGGAGGGGGACAGCAAGGCAGGAGCAGTGACTAGAAGACAGACTTGTCCTGTGGAGGGATAGCAGGCATGGTGTTCCTGATTCTCTTTGTACGTTCAGTACTGGTAGACAGCCGCCTTCTTTGTAGACGCATAAAAGTGACATGTCACTCAGGTACTACCATACAACAAACCCCGCTGGGGCATGAGAGCCTGAATTGCATTAGGATTTTGGTGTCTCAACAAGTGTGCTGTTCAGTAAGGGCCTTTCTCCCTGCCACAGCTTGCAGGATTTTCAGCTAACTTACTTGGCTGAACTTGTAGGTTTTGGCAAATCCAAAGGCTGAACTTGCTGAACTTCACTATTACTGAGTAGAGTTATCAGTATTTGGCTTTCGTGGAAGTTGAAAAGGGTTTGACGTGAGTCAGAAGCGACGTGATCTGTAAGTTAACAAGTTGCTGCTCCACAGCTGAGGTTACCTGCTCTGCACCGCAGGGTGACTTGTGCCAGCACTCTCCTTTTCGCATGTGGAACACACCTGGCACTGGTATGAGGCTTAGCTGAGGACCAGCAACTCTTTTAACTGTGGTGACTTTACCATGGGTGATCAAATCATTAGGTCACCTTAATGGTTTTATTCAGATCTGTAGAATCTGCAGTTTCATTATTTGAAATTATTAGATATAAGAATGAAAAAAAGAAAAATAGTTATTCTATTAAGCTTCTTATAATCAGACATAAAAGTTAAGTCTATACCATTAAATCTTGTTAAAGTAAACAAGCAGTTTATCCATTTTTCAGTCATCTGTTCATTGTCACGGTAAAAACATTGTTTTGTATCTTTTAGAGATCTATAATTGCAGACCTGTAGCTTAATGTGGCATAGGTGAGTAGAAGCACTTTTTCAGTGCTTCTGTAAGAAACTCCTAAGCTAAATCAATAATGCCATATGATCTAAAGGAGAAAAGAAAGATCTTTACAACATCAAGCAAGAGTTTAGCAATCTGATCCGCGTTCATGGTATTGAGCGACTCATCAAATACCTGGGCAACAAGCAGTAATTGATTTTACAGTATCTGACCACCTGACATGAATGTATATGTGTAATATAGTTGAGTGGCATTCATGCAAACTTTTTTCTATTGAGTTGCTGGTAGCTGGTAAGATTTTACTAAAACATGCTGTGGTTTATGATTTTTTTTACAGTTGGTGATAAATGGTGTAGGAATTTAAACCCTCACCTTTGGAAATAACCATCTGTTACAAAATAGATCGCTGATGTCTCCTTTAGCAGCCTAATGCAGGATGATACAAATTCCTGTTACCTGTGACAGAGAGAGCTAACCCATGGACTCTGTGTTACTACACCGATAGTATCCTTAAAAAGCTACACGTTTCATCTTCTGTTGGGAGTATGTGGATCAGGCATTCTTAGAGTGATGTGCACAGCAGTGAAAATTGAGAAATTGGCTTCAGAGATCTAGAGAGCTTGGTAGTTGAAGGTCAAAGTTGCAGCCTTCTGTTGGTTATAAACAAAGATGGGATTAGCACCTTGCCAGTTCAGCATCTGTGGTCAAGCTGAAGCCTATTTGGCAGCGTGATTTTAGGTGGGTTAATAAAGAAAACACACATTTTTCTCCATAGTAATGAAGCATGTTTTGTACCAGATGTTGTTGGATATCACAAAACATTTGTTTATATAATTTAAAAAAAAATTACATTCATGGAAAAATGTACTTCTTTCACTCTTTTAAAAGCTAACGTATACCTGGATTTTTAAGCTTATATTACTCCTAGTATGTATAGAATTGTATAAAATAAAACTGTTAAAAATGCAGAACGATAAATAGAATCCAAAGACTTTTTTCTTTTTCTTTTTTTTTTTTTTACTTGGACGCCTATCTTGAGGCATATGGACGTTGTGATAGATTTTTCACTTTGGACAGAGAACTTCCTAAAAGGAAATTCAGATGCTGAAAGCTTGCAAGATGCAAATACTTGATTTGTTTCATCAACTATGAAATAGTATATTTTGAAATTAATTAAATTCTAAGTAGTGATCTATTGATTGTTCACAGGAATTTGAATTTGCTTAATGATATTCTAATTTTCCAGATATATCTTTGGCCCTGCTACTACAGGGCCTTTAGGCAAACACAGTCATAAAAACACAGGTGTGTTTAGCAGATATGATAAAAGTGCAGGTGTGCATAGCAGGTTTACCAAGTGACGCTTCTATAGACTAAAACAAACTATGTCTTTATAGGAGTTAAGAGGTAATCACTAGTGCTGTGGCTTTCCGACTGCCCTTCCTCCATCATTTTCTCTCCAGCTCCAGAGTGGCTGTGCCATTTTGTCAGAGTATGCTATGACTCATTTCCCCATTTTATTTTTTCTCGCAGATGGCATCGTTTCATCTCATGGTCTGAAAGTGACAAGTGACACTGTGGCACTGACTTTATTGTATTAGGCTGTACTAGCTGTGATGAATATATAATCTGTGTTGCAACTTTCTTTGTCTCTGCCTTACACAGCAGTGGGTGAAGAAAACACAGGGAAGCTAATGAAAGGCTTCAGATACTACTGCTGTGACTTTGAGCATGAAGGCAGTATCAGTAATATCATTATTGGTACCCGTGTAGTAGCACTGATAATGGGGCTTTTTCTAGTGTGCCAGGGAACATAGAGGCGTACAGCTGACTCACTGGCTGACGTTGTCATTTTGGCACACAAACAGTTTGTAAAATGCTGCCAGTTCTGTCTTACTGTGTTGGATCTCTTTGCCCAGAGCTTTTAAATTCCTTTCCAGAGCTGGCAGTTTTGGTGGAACTGTAACCTATGCGTCCCACAACACTTGACTTTGTAAAACTGTGAGACGTGAAAGTATTTGATGTGTTGCCAAAGTGAAAAATGTTCCAAAACCTAGTGTGAAAAGTTTATTCTTTTTATTTTTATGCTGGTGTTATGATAGGCAGGCACTGATTTTTTTTTTTTTTTTTTGGTTTGGGGGGGGCGGGATATGTTGTGAAAGACCTTCCCACCACCACACATGCTATATTTTATCTTTCATCAAGATTTGCTGTAGCTAGCTGATACAGAAATGGTTTGATGGGTGATGAAACAGACCTACATCTGTGCTTGGTAACTGGGGAAATCCATTACAATGTCTCCACGTGACTGGACCTGATCTTGACGGGGGAATACCTGTACTGCATAGTAGAAGGGATGATAGATGGAATAGGACCTCAAAATAAAACACACGCATACACAGGTATCGCTCGGATTAATATCTGGCCACCATTTTTTTGATAATGTACATGCAGGCTTTATTGGCCAATAGTCTGGTCTTCAGCTCTGGAGCAGTTTTGCTGTATTTTGCTGTTCTTTCTACCGCTGTCGCTGGCGTGCAAGTCCTGAGAGCAATGTACTTTGGAGTCAGTACGAGAAATGTTGAGAATATTCACAGACAAAACATTCTAGGCAGCACAAGTTTTTTTTTTTATACATCTCCTTCTGTAACAACCTTAAAAAGTCAATTTTCCATCCTGAACAGAGTGTTATTTTTCTGAGCTTGCTTTCAGTTGAAAGGGACATTCTGTAGGAGTTCCACTTCCATTTGTGTGTTTGTTCTCTGCAGTGACTTTATTGACCACATGAAGAATGATGATTTTTTTTCAATAGTTTTTCAAGAGAATCTTCTGAAGCTTGGGTTGATTTGGAGAGGGAAGAGAGGTCAAGATAACAACAAAAACCTCTTCAAGGTAAATAAGCATATGTTCTTGCCCGTAGTAACATTTCTGTAGCAATTTCCCCTACGTAGTGAACTAACAAAGACCTGGAGTATGTTTTTTGAAGCTAATGATTTTAATAGATATTTTTCAAGCTTTTAACGCTCTATAGTGGTGATTAATTTATTAAGCAGGTCTCATAGCTTAAATTGAGAGACTATTCCCACAGTAGAATATAGGGAAATGAGGCACACTTCAGTGTTTTGGGGTAAGTGGAAATTCACCCTAAAGGTCAAGGTCATGCATGTTGCAGAAAATGTGCTTCTGAATTCCTGCCTTTCTTTGTCATGCAGGACTTCACTGTTTGTTCTGACTGGTCCCGTCTCAGGATCCATTTCTTGACACTGCTTCACATAGCAGTGACCAAACCAGTCAAGACCCAGCCATCACTAACTTTAAGGGACTCACTGCTGTTGAGAATAGCTTTCTCCCTGGCATTGTTTTCTTTGAGGAATTATAATTGGAGCCCTGGACCAATTGTAGAAGACTGGTGAAGATGAGAGGAAGAAAAGTAGCACACTTGTGTATCTATCTCCAGGAAAGATTTACCCTGCTTTATTTACTATTTAGCTTGGAAATAGTTACATGAAAACAGGAAAAACTCTTTTGTTCCAATTACAACGTCTTCTATGGCAACAGGACTTCCCTGTGGCTGAATTCCAGGGCCCAAAATCAGTAGAGATCTGCTAATTTCACTTGCTCTGTCACACCAGAATGAATCTGGCCATGTCTTGATGTACCGATAAAACTTCTCTCCAAATACATGTTTATTGTGAATGGAACAAAGTCTCAAGTGCAGCAAATTCAATTTACTTTGTTTCCACTTTATCTTGAAAAAAATAGCCTCTGCCTTCAGGTGAAATTTGAATGCAAACAGGGGAATGTTGGTTTGTGGTTTGTTTGGTGTTTTTTTTAAGAAAAAAGAAAAAAAAAAGGTAAAAAAAACCGGGGAATGTTGGTTTGTGGTTTGTTTGGTGGTTTTTTTAAGAAAAAAGAAAAAAAAAAGTAAAAAAAAAAACCACCAAAACAAAACCAAAAAACCCCAAAACACCCATAAAGTAGAAATTAGGCTTGAATGCATATATGATTTTATCAGTTTCTTCATAGGGAAGGTCCACAGATGCAAAAAGATCATTTTGTCTGACGTGTTGTTTTAGGAAAACGTAGTTGTCTTTTTTAGCCTTTATCCATCTTCCAGGTTGTAGGTCTCTTTACACTATCAATATTTTCACGTGTCCTGTTGCAGGGTACATGTTGACATTAGAATGAAAGTTTCAACTGATGAATCTGGAGTAACTAGTTAATATTCCATATACCAGACATAACATAATAAATGACTTTTTTTTAATATGTATTGCATTCCTTTCCAAAAATATAGAGTTAAAATTCCAACAGCTGTATTAAATTCTGCTAAACAGTTTTGTAAAATAAACCTTGTATATCCATGTAGATGCACTACTCGGATGTCGAAGATGTGTACACAAAAGTTAACCATACCAGAGAAGCACCATTTCATTACAGCTAGGGAGCTAGAGCAGGAGTGAAGCTCTGAGTCCCCAGTGAGCTTTTATGTAATATTTGCTTTGTAAATAATTTTGAACTGTATGTGTACAGCAGTATTATTCATCGGTCATCTTTGGGCATAATGTAAACAGTTCAGCGAGAGTGCTGTATTTTCAATAGTTTCAAAATATTGGCATGGAGTTTAGGGGGAAAATCTCTTCCGCTAGTACAGGGAGTGCAGCATATAAAGTATATATGTATTTTAAAAAGTTACAATAATATTGAAAATAATAATATTACTATAGACTAATATTATTTTAGTTTTAAATATATGAGAGTTACGCATTAATTCATTTTCATACAAGACAAGTTTCTCTTCAGAGTGAGCAAGAAGTGCATCATGTATATCAGAATCATATTTGAGATTGGTTATAAGAATCTGGAATGATCTTGTTCATAGGAATACACCAAATCTAGCATTCCTGAACAACGACAGAAATATAGACAATGCAGACTTTTTTTTAGAAATCGTAAATGGGGAATTCACAGTTAATGTTTTCTTGGAGTCTGTGCAAACTGTTGCAAGAAAATGAATTAAGCTTAAATTAGTTTAACCAATTGAAAGATGACTTGCTTAATGTATTCCATTATCATGAATAATTCCGCCCTTTCGCCTGTAAAGTAGTAATAAATAATGAAAGAATTCAGATCATGGAAATTAGGCAATCTTTCTCTTTGTTTTAATAACTGTGCCTTTGAATCTCATTCTGACCTTTAACGAAGGCTCCATATCAACACACAGACAGCACGTGGCCATTGAGGGCAGGGGGTAGCGTTAACACCAACAAAAAAAACAGGATCATGAGGTAATGTAGTGGAGAACATGAGGAACATTTTATTACCTGATTATTGAGCCCTTCCTGGAACTTTTAAATTATTTCAATAAATAAATGCAAACAAAATAAAATTTGAGGAAAAATTTTTGTATGAAGAGCTGCTTTTAGATAACTGAAGAATGAAACAGATGTGAGTGCTTTTGTAGCTGGTTTGATGACATCATAGAGAATTGCAATTTTTTTAATTATTTCTATTATTATTTTTAACTGACAGCCTTGCATTCTTCCGAAGATGCTTTTGGTTGCATGACAGAAGAAACTGATTCCATGTAAGCAAGTGCTTGATACTTATCTGGAACATGAGGATTGTACTGTTTGATGGTTTTGGTGATGTAGAGATTTGGACCCAAGACTTGAACCCACAGACGAGATGCGAGGGTTTTTTTCCACCGTTAGTTCAACTCCTCCTTTCTCTCAAGCTCTCCAGTTTAGCTTGTACCAAAAATATTCACTGGGATGGACAAAAACTGCTTAGACGTTTGAAATGGTTATGGCAACTGGAAATGCTCCCTTTTTTTTTTTTTTAAACAATATTTTTTCCCCTCCAACCTCCCCCGATACTGCTGCTAAAGATCTTTGTCCAAATATATAATAGAAACAAATTCCCAAAGTGTGGAACACACAATAAACCAGTTTGCTTTTCCAGGGGCTCTACCAGAGATGACCGTTCAGCCTCCTGAGAACAAATGACTGTCTCGATTAGCAAGCAGTAAGAGTAAATATGTAGACTAGAACATGATGCTGAGGACGGTGTGTTGCCAACAAGCTCTAGTCTAATCAGGAGATTTGCCTCAGAAGTGTGCTTCTCATACAAATGAAAATGGTTATGTGAACACACCCTTAATATGAAGAATGTGTATTTTAAGTAACTGTTTTAAGACTTTTTTTTTGTCCGTCTCTAAATTTTTGATCTCACAAGTCTATTACTGACAGCTTCTGGAGATGATTGCAGATACTGAATAGAAGATAAATTTGGTCTCTCCTGCATTTTTCAGGCAGACAGGAATGTCTGCCAGGCCAGCACTGAGCCAAACAGAAGCTGTGGCAATATGGGCAATACGAAACAGAATTTCAGTTAATGTTAGCATGCCTTTCAGTAGGTTTATTGACTTGATTTCTGTATTGTGCTAACTTAATCCATGCAGCTTCCAGTTGATTTGGAGCGATGACTGCTTTTGTCTGCAAAATGCTTTCCTGACATATTCCAAAACCTGCCAATAAATAGAACCATGGGTGAAAAGTGTGACTGCTGAATGAAAACAGTGGGTGAAAAGGTGATTGCTAGAGGTTTGGAACCCTAGAGAAAAGAAAAAAAAACAGATTAAAAGCATAATTAGACCAATACTGTGAGAAGATAACCAATTCCAGCTTATGGAAGGATGCCATTAGTCTTACCGTTGCACAGCGAGACGACTTGGCTGATGAAAGTTCTCGGAGCGGGACAGTCCATTGTTTCTAAGATTAATTTGTCATTCAAGTTAGTGTATGTAGAGTATTCCTGATCTTATACAGGGCTGAAAACTTTCACCATGCATTAATTATGAAATAAATCTTACTTCAGTGTTATGAACAGTACTTCGGTACTATCACCATCTCTAGGCAGAGACCCCGGCAATGGTCTTATGCGTGCCTCAGTTTACCATGATAATGGAATCAAAATTTACTGTACCCAAAGCAAGGCCATACATAAACCTTTTTGGAGCAGGGGTCTGTGGTGTTTATGTAGGTGATGCCACCTATGTGATCTTTTACTGGTGCCGCCATTTAAGAGAAACGATAATGTAATAAATGAGAATCTCCCCCCCAGCAGTTATTAGTGAACTGGACAGGGATTCTTTAAAGTATGAGATTACTAGAAAATATGAACTACTTCTGACCCACAGATTCATACTAATATTTTGGGAAACACCCAGAATGAACAGCATCATTGGTATAAATATCTGGCAGGAAAAAGGTTGTTTACTGTGTAGAAAAAGTACATGTAGAAAATATGTCCTTTGTGGCCTTGTTTCTTAATAGACATATACAGACTGTCTACTTCACTGTTTAATTGCTTTGAGCAACATGAGAAAACTGGTATTTTGCATAGCTAAATTAGTCAATTGAATTATGTGTAAGCATTATCACAACCGTAGTGGTTACTAATATTTAGAGGGGAGGGGAGAAAAATGGGCAAGTCAAACCTTTCTGCCTTTGAGGGCCGGGACCAAGCGGATGTAACAGAAGTCTGGTAAAATGTTCTGTTCAATTGGACTAGTGACAAATGACAGTTGAGTAGGAGTCATTGCAATAAATCTAGTGGGACATTATTAAAAATATAGTCCTTTACTGTGAACACTTTATCAATTTCTCCATAGTTAGATGTAATGCTGAAATAAAACCAATCTATATTTGGAACCTTGGATTAGAGCATAAAGATACTGCTGTTGTCACCATTTAGTCTTGGTGATGCCCACATAGTCAGCATCTGATGTGGTCAGAACTTTGAGATGAGTCTGTTCAGGTCTTTCCTTATAGGAAGCTCTTCAAACTTCAAAGGGTTTTTGAAATGAAAAAGCCAGATTTATTAGACTA